ATTGAAGCCTTCTTGGGGCGTCTTTGGGGCCTCTTGGGCAGTCTTGAGGCCATCGTGGTCGTCTTTGAGGATTCCTCGGCGTGTTGGAACCCAGCTTGAACCAGTTTTTCGCTCATAGCTGGATCGAGCCTTAATCAATGTGTATCAAAGTCGTACCGTGTCCTGGTGGGATTGTTGTAGAGCTGAGTCCGCCTGAGTGGGATTCTCATAGAGCTGGATCCAGCCGTCGCAATATCCAATTCGAGTTGGACCGAGCCCTAGTAGGCATGCATTTGAGCTGAATCGAACCTTGATGGTTTTGAGAGCTGCACCGAGTCCTGGTAAGCTTCGCGTTGGGTCTGGTCGAGGCCACGTGCGATTTCTTCAAGAGTTGTGTCCAGCCTTACTGGGGTTTTGTTGGAGTTGGTCCGACCCCGTGTCGGGTTCGATGAGAGCTGGATCGAACCTTCGTACGATTGTGTTGAAGCTTGATCGAGCTTGGCCGACTCTTGAACGGATCAGAGGGCTTGGACAGACATATAGCGAGCGTAGCGTTCATCCCGCTGGCGAGCGGGCTGGGGCAACTCTAGGGCCACCACGGACTAGGGCACGTGCAGAAGGGCGCATTCGGCGCCCCGTTCGTTGGTGACGAGGGCCCTGCAGGTTTGCTGGTCGCGCGCGCCGAGATGGCCCAGAAGCTGGAGGAGCGTTACGATTCCAGCCCCGAGTTTTTCGCAGACACACAGAGGCGGGGCATCGTTTTCCAGAAGAGACAATTGGAGATATCCTTTTGAACTGGTTGGCGATGCGCCACTGCAGTACTTGCGCCACCTGTCCCCTGAGGGCGGGGATGAATGCGCGTCGGTTCCTGCGCGCTCGCTACAAGGCGATCGAGCCCCGCTGTCTCCCCGAGCCGGGGAATGACTTCATCGCCGTGAATCTTGCCGGTGAGCTGCGTGCGCTCGCGTGGTATTCGGGAATGGAGGTGGCGGAGTATGGGCGCATCGGTTTGCTCATCGTTCACTTGGCGATGCGCGGCGCCGTCCGCGTTCGCAGCTCCAGTGAGGGATTGAAGTCTCCGACGTCGCCAATATGATGGGCGACGAGGGCTACGACGAGGCATGGGCGCGCTTCGTGCGTGCTTTTGCCCAATTGCCGCGCTGCACAGCCCAGATACTCGGCGCGCACGTGCCGGAAGCTGAAGGGGGCCCCGCGGCCAAGCCAGACGACTGGGGCGATCGTCTCGAGCGCGACCCACCCGCCGGAGACCATGTCGTCGGGGGTTCGCCCGTGGTGAAGCCTGTTGACCCCGAACGCATGCATGTTCAGCGCAACGCAACAGCGAAGCGCTCCCACCACGCAACCTTCATTCCATTGGACGATGCCTCCATGCGCAGGTCTATGGCCGGGCAAGTCGCGGCGCCGAGCAGGGACCTTCAGGGCGTGCTTCAGCGCCGTTTCCTGAGCTGCCTGCCGGCCCTGCATGGCCCGCGCTCCGTTCCTGAAGGCGAAACTGTCGGAGAAGAAGAGACGGGCCCGGTTGGGCGATCCAGTTGATATAGAGAATTCGGAACAGACAAAGCGGTAAAATGCACGGTGGGCTGCCGGCGCGGCGCAGGCCTGGCGGCTGTGCGCGCGCAGTGGCCGGCCACGCTTGGGCGCTCGTGTTTCCGATCTGGGCGACCCGCATTCTCTCTCGGCTCTTCGCGCGCTCATTTTTAGTTTTCGCATTTTCGACGGGGGGTCCTGGATCCAGCGCGACGGCTCCCCGGCAACGGCGTTCCGACCCAAGTGGCGCGACGCTCATCAGATCTAGCCTCTCGCCGTGCACGGGGTGCAGCGGGCCCAGATTTCGTGGGCCTTGGTCCATGACCGGCTGAGCCATGGGCTCAGGAATGTTTTTGACTTCAGCGCGGCATGCGTAGACTGGATCAAGCCACGCCTGGGAAGCGTTCGGATACCTGGCGTTGATGATGAAGATGCGCTCGCTACCATTGAGTGCAAGAAGGCACTCTGCGCGCTGCTAGACTGGGTGATTGCTACCTCCTGTGCAACAACGATTGCCGCAATCGGTTGGGTATCTTGAGCTGTCCAACATGCAGGGCGCTCGCCCAGTGCGGCGCCGATGCAGCAACCCCTGGCGCGATTTGGCCAAAAATTGATTTGCGAGACATCGGACTGGCCAAGCGGGGGGGCCACGGGGGCTACGCCCCCGGCAACGAGGCGCCAAGTACGGGGAAGGAAATCCAGGGTCGCGACGCATGCCGCGCGCAAGTCCGCCCGCATAACAAATCGAAGGACACGGGCGCAGATGGCATGGTCGACCGTCGAGAGAAACGCCTGCAGGGCGAGACCGCGTTCCACAGCAACACCACGACGGTCGCCGCCCGGCAATCAAAGTCGGCAGACGACGAGTTGCCGCCGGAGCAACGGAACCCCTGCCCTACAGACTGGGGAAGGCCAAGAAGCTGGGACAACGGTGGATCACATTCCAACGCGCATCCAAAGACGCCCGTTCTTGGCACTAACCCATGTTGGTCTTCCAAGGACACGGCGGACGTGCGTCGGCAGGGAGATCCTGGAAGGGGAGGGCCGTGCCTCTCTCGAGCCGTTCGACTGGGGCTACGCGTTCCCAGAGGACCGCGTACTCGACGAGCCCGACAAGGGTTGGTCTACTTGGCGCGCCGAGTCCGGGCGGGGCGCCGAGGCCCAGCCTCTCGCTGCCTTGAAAGACGAACTGGGGTGGGAACTGACGGAGCACTGGCCTCCAGTGGATTTCCTGGCGCCTCCAGTGCCTGCCGCGCGGGAACCTGGGACTTCGGCCCCCTCTGACTATGTCAGTGAGGATGCCCGCCCTGGAGCGCAGACAGTCACGGGCGAAAAGAGGCCAAACTCCGCGCGGCCTGAGGGCCGCCCCGCGACGGCTAGAACGACCGACGACGTCAAGGGCATGGGTGAGGCGGCCGGGAGCGACGACAAGGGAGCTGAGAGGCGAAGCAGTCGCGCGCCTGACGATCGACAGGAATCTCGGCGTCGCCGAGCAGCAAACCCAACGTAGTGGGATCAGCATCCAGGATCGAGCGCTGCCTCATCAAGCCCCGCCATGGCACTGCAGTGAGATCCACGGCATAACGCGGATCTCACTCCGCCATGGCGCGGGAATGCTGGCATTTCAAGGCAGAACGCGGATCCCGTCCCGCCATGGCGCGAGAACGCCGACAATTGGTGGTCGTCTTGGAGTTGGGGCTCAGGCGTCTACAGCAGCTGGAGCCGCGGCGACCGGAGGTGTGTCTGAGTGGATGAGAAGGAGGGGCGTTTGCAGCTATGCTGCGAGTGCCCCCTCGACGCCTCCGTGCCATGCGCCGAGCGTCTCGGAGCGCTGCGAGCCAGGCGGCTAGCGGGCTGCCTGTCGGGCACGGCGCGACGGGCAGTTCTGCGAACACAATTCGGGGCGTTGACAAATCGTTAACGTCCACCCTGGCGAGCGGATTCGCCGTGGAGGCCGCGGGGGGAGTTGATTCAGTCATCGCCCCTGCGTCGCCGCCGCATCGCCGTCGGGGCGCTGCGTGACGTCGATGCCCGCCAAAGCTGTCTCTGCTCTGGATACAACAGCAAAAGCGCGCCCCGCCCCGCCGCGCGCGCGCGGGCCCTCCGGGCGCCCCCCCCGGCCGGCCGGGTCACGTCCGTCTATCGTGGCCTTCGCTAAATTTGACGGCGCACCTTCTTCGGCAATGGCGGGGGGGGGCGCATCGCCAATTAGTCGCGTGAACCTGAGCATGGAAACGCGACAGGAATAATTTCACCAAGAAACACAATAATACGTTTTGCTGTTTAACCGGGTTGCGGAAGCCTCTTTCCTGACGGATGCCCGGCAACACGTTGCAGAGGCCGCGGAGAGAGCGAGAGGGAGAGAGATAGAGAGCTAGAGAGAGAGAGAGAGAGAGAGAGAACAAACAAGCGAGAGAGAGGGAGGGAGAGAGAGAGAGAGAGAGAGAGAGAGAAATACAGAAAGAGAGAGAGAGAAAGAGAGAGTGAGAGAGACAGAGAGAGAGGGGCATATATATATAGAGAGAGAGAGAGAGAGAGAGAGAGAGAGAGACAGAGAGAGAGAGAGAGAGATATAGAAAGAGACATGAAGCGAGAGGAAGGGATATACATAGTGGGAGAAAGAGAAAGAGACAGAGAGAGAGAGAGCGATGACGACAACGAGAGAGAGAGAGAGAGGGAGAGCGAGAACGACATAGATACATACATATACAGAGAGAGAGATAGAGAGAGAGAGAGAGAGAAATAGAGAGAGAGAGAGAGAGAAAGAGAGAGAGAGAGAGAAAGGGAGAGAGAAATAAAGGGAGAAAGAGAGAGATATAGAGAGAACGATGGAGAAATGCAGATAAGTGGATAAAGAGATGGAGAGGGAGAGGGAGAGATAGAGAGAAAGAAAGCGAGAGAACGTAGAGAGAGAGAGAGAGAGAGAGAGAAAAACAACATGCATCGAGAGAGAGATAGAGAGAGAGAGAGAGAGAAATAGAGAGAGAGAGAGAGAGAAAGAGAGAGAGAGAGAGAAAGGGAGAGAGAAATAAAGGGAGAAAGAGAGAGATATAGAGAGAACGATGGAGAAATGCAGATAAGTGGATAAAGAGATGGAGAGGGAGAGGGAGAGATAGAGAGAAAGAAAGCGAGAGAACGTAGAGAGAGAGAGAGAGAGAGAGAGAAAAACAACATGCATCGAACGTGCCATATTTACAGCGGGGGGAGAGAGAGAGAGAGAGAGAGAGAGAACAAACAACAAAGGAACACACATTTATACATATATGTGGAAAAGAGAGAAAGAGAGAGGGAGAGAGAGAGAGAGAGAGAAACAGAGAGAGAGAGAGAGAGAGAAGAGAGAGAGAGAGAGAGAGAAAACGCGAGTGGGAGAGAGAGAGAGAGAGAGGGCAAGAGAGAGAGAGAGAGAGAGAGAGACAGGGAGAGGGAGAAAGAGGGAGGGAGAGAGAGAGAGAGAGAGAGAGAGAGAGAAAGAGGTGCCGGCCAGCTTCGATGCGCGGGAGAAGTGGCCGCAGTGCTTCAACCAGCCCGTCTACAGCATGGGGGAGGGGCGCGGGGCCAGAGGACGAAACCTCAAGGGAGGCTTGGGGTCATTCCCTGGTCTCAGCCTTCCGGGAAGGCGTTCCTGCACATTTGCCTTCTTTGTTGTTTTTCTCTGCCTTTTCCTCCCTCCGCCTTCCCTCCCTTTTTCGCTGCTGCTGCGTGACCGCCATGCACCCACAGGATCACGTTATTCCAATGGCTTTTTGTATTTGGATTGTTTGTTTGGCTGGCTGTTTGAACATATGCTCTAGACACGCCGTGTGGTGATGGCTACATGCGCGCGCATTCCGCAACCACGTTGTTTCTCACCCCATAGTCCCGCTGCGTCGCAAACGGAAGTGCGGTCCCATTTCTCCCCGGGCGGCGCTCCCCGCATCTAAGTTTCAGGATTGTGCTCTCGGGATTTCATCTTGCCCATTCTCTAATATCAAACAACACACGTGTGAGTTTCATAGTGGTCCCGTCGGGGTTCCGGACGTTGGGTTATGCTTGATATTATGCGGAGACATGCTCAGGATCGGCCCAATCGAACAATCATATTGGCCTGCCGCTATTTCAGGTTAAGTGTCTATGATTTTCAAGCATGCTGTGGCGCTGCGTGGAGGCATGGTGTGCGCTGGGTGACTATTCTCTGGGCGAGCGAAGTCCATACTTGCTGGCCCGCGCGATTGCATTTTGGGGCGGAAGAGCTGGTAATAGAAGTCCCGATGTTCTTTTGGCTGTGGTGCCATGCGGGTGCACACACACACAGTGGACGTCGATGCTCATAATTTGTGAGTGGTGTCGGATGATTAAATTTGCAGTCCTCCTCTTTCCCCCTCCGCCTCCTCCCTCGTCCAACCCTATCTGATGGCGCTTGGCCTTCTTCCACGCCTCAACGTGCTAGGGTGCATGGAGGCGGATTGGGGGGCCGCCTGATCGACCGCTTCCTCCTGACAGCGCCTCAATGGAACGGTTCTAGGCTGCGCTTATTCCTCCCTTGTCCGTCTGCTTCCTCCGCCTCCTTCGCTGCCGCGTGCTCCCTTTTCCTAAGGCCAGCCAGGGCCAGTTAACTGTCCCAGTAGGGGTGGTATAAACAGCAGTTTTCGGAGTTCCGCGAAGGAGCCTGCCGGGCCCGACTCCACTCGAAATCGGCCCCTGTACCTCTCCTGGGGTACAACTTGACTCGTTTTCCGGCGCGAGTCTAGCCGTGGCGACGAGAAGCCTCCAGTAGATGAGCACATGCATAAACATACACGTAATCTTTTGGAGTTTCGCACGGGTTTCTTGGATCGGCGCTGGACTCCCCTCCCTGACGCGCGGAGCGCGCCAGGGGCGGGGCCGGAGGCGTAGCAAAGGGGGGGCCACCGCGCCGATCCAAGAAATCCGCGCGGAGCTCCGAAAATACTTCTGTTTGTCCCCTCGTTTGTCCCCTCGTTGTCCCCCTCTCCCTCCCGTCTGACCCCTCGTCGTCCCTGTGCCCTCAGGGGGCGCGCGGTTGAGAGGGGGGGTAAGGTGTCGAGGCTCGATGAGGAATCGAGGAGGGGTGGAGGGGTCGAGGAAGGATCGAGGCTCGAGAAGGGACCGAGGGTCGAGGAGGGCGGGGGGGCGGCGGGCGGGCGGCGGCGGAGGGTCGGGCAGAACTGCACCGCGAGCTGGGCGATCGCCGCCGCCTCGGCGCTCAGCAACCGCTTCTGCATCTCGAGCCCGTCGGAGTGCCCAGCCGCCAAGGGGTATGCGTCCTCCTCGTCCCCCTCCCTCCCCTTCTCCTCCTCCCTCCCTCCTCTCCTCCTTCCCTCTCCTCCTCCTGCTGTCCTCTTCCTCCTCCTCCTCCTCGTCCTTCTCCTCCTCTCCTCCGCGTTCGCGCCCTCGCCCGCTGCTGTGCCTGCCGTCGCCGACGCTGCCGCTGCAGTGGGCAGTTGACCTCGTCTTTCTCTTTCCGGTCTTGGCCGCCTGCGTTCGTTTTTTTTTCTTGGTGAGTGTCTCGCGTCCTTCCTCTCCTTGTCGTCGTCGTCGTCATCCTCCGCCTCCTCCTCAATCGCGCACGTTCCCGCGAGGAGGACAGCTGTTGCTGGGGCGTGCGTTTGCATTTTTTCTGCCTCCGGAGGGAGGGGGAGGAAGGTCGGGAGGGAACGGCGAGGGAGTGAGGGAGGAGGGATTAGTAGAGGAAAGGGATCATGTCCTCGGCATGCGCGCCGCGGAGAGGAGATAGAAGACTCAGACGGAGACGGAACAGGAGGAGGAGGAGGAGGGGGGAGGAGCAGGAAGAAGAGGAGGGGACTTAGGTCTCCAACGTCGTGTGCTAACAACGTGTGCCCCCAGATTTCTGGATCTCTTCCCAGGGACATTAGTTTTTTCACGGTCTTTGGGCCCGACGAGGGCCCCGCAGAGGCCGAACATTGTCCAAACTCTTCGTAGCGCGTCTTTCATTCGCGAGGGGCATGGGGGGGAGACGATGGGGCGAGGGCGGGGGAGACGATGGGGCGGGGCACGGCAGTGGAGTTCTTCGCGCGGCCCCTGGTCACGCGTTTCCAGTCACCGCCCTCCCCCGTGCCTTTGGGCGTCGCGTAGTTTTGGAGCGATAGTTGGGGGGGCAGCGAGGGCTGCCGAACAGGGGCCCCTAAGGCCACTGAAGAGGCCCTAACCAAAGGGGGCCTTTAAGCTCGACAAGTGCACCATCTTTCCTCCCCCATCCACCGCCCCCCTCCATTAAGCGATGCCACGCGTCCCCTTTGTATAGGCCCCCTCCCCTGGACACTCCTGCAGGCCCTTGGTCCCTGGTCTCTGGCCCCCAGTCTCTGGTTGTCCTGGGCTGTGTGTGGTCGTTCCCAGTTCTCCTGTCCCAGGTCCTTGGTCCCGTATCTCGGTGTCTATTGGACCACCCTTGGCGTAGAAGTCGTCGATCCTGCACGTGGCACTGTCAGTCTGTCTGAGAGAGTCATCGGTGTCTCCGTGGTCGGCAAGTTCATGGCGTCCAACGCGGAGTGCACCGTCGTCGAGGATGTGGCGATCAGCCCGCATCGGCCAGTGCTGCTCACACTCGATGTGCCACGGCGTGCACCGCTTGCGCGAATTCTGATGGTGCCAAAGAGGTTTCCCAAAAACAGGCCCATCGGTTGTGAGAGGTTGTTCGTCGAGCCGCAGTGGCAGAGCGTGATCGATGGCATCGATGGTAAAAGTGTGGGTTGTATTTAACAGCAATATATCAGTATTTTGGATGAGATATGGATCAACACATATGCAATTTCGCAGCACGGTTCACTCACATACCAACGGCGGGGTCAGGAGCTGCAGTAACAAGTCGTTCGACCGACGCGGACATGTGCATAGCCGCTTCCAGCCATCAAATCAGATGCAGTTTGGTGGAACTGCTTCAGTCAAGCGCTGTGCGATATTGAAGTTATCAAAGGTGGCTGGACATTGGCGTTGCGACGGCAGCGGCTTCTCAGACCCTGTCGTCATGAGGCCGTGTTGCGCCACTGCCTTCTCGCAGTCGCATTGTGCAGCATTTTGCAAGAGGGCGACCTTTGCGAGGAGCAGCTCAGGCTGCTCGAGGTTCTTGCACCGGGGGAGGCTGAGCAGGCTGTTCAGGCCAGCCAGCGAGCCAAAGGCAAGGTTGGGAGGAGTGGCTTGACAAGCGTACTGATGTGCAAGGAGCCTCTGCTTGTTCAGTTGCACGTTGGTCCCTCGCGGCTCTGGACTCCCGAGGAGGTCACAGCAAAGTATGCGCGCATGGGCATGGCAGAGCAGATAGGCAAGCTGCAGGAGGATTGGGACGCCTGGCGGTGCTTTTCGGGGCTCACCCGCCGTTGGTTTGGCCTGAACTGTTTGTCGAAGCTGTGCCTCCCAAGCCTTTTGTAGAGCAGTTGACGCAAGTTCTACACGTGTCATGCCCATAACAGGGCAAGGACACGATGGTGTGAACCCGCGGTTGTTTTTATTTTCGGGCTCTTACGGGCTCGAGGTTTTGTGCGAGCTGTTGCGCCAGATCGAGCTGAGGCTCGAATGGCCCCGGACGTGGGCCAAGGTTTTATCCGTGCAAAACGTCTTGGAGGTTTCAGGCCATTTGCTTAGTTGCGTGTGCTGAATCGCATCCCGCGTCGTGCCCGTCGCGGCCAGACTGCCTAATGGCAGAGCAGAGGCTTTCGGTCTTTCTCGCTGGGAACGCGCGGCAAGGCCTCTGACAGAGGTGCATGGGTGCAGGCGGCGCGGGTAAGGCTTATGATCGGGCGCCATCTTGCTTGATTTTAAGACAGCATTCGAGCTCGTGTGTCACCACCATTCTCATCGCTGCCGCCCAAGCCACAGGTTCCCCCGTGCGTTTTATCTATCTGCTAGTGACGGCGCACAAGCGCCCGCGCATCTTTGACATGAGTGCGTGCCCGTCGGTTTTTGTCCGGGCAAAGCGTGCTGTCCTTTGATTTGCTTGCTTGTTTTATTAAATTATTCCTCTTCTCTTGCCGCGGCGGTGCAACAATGTATCCACCTTCGGCCGCTGGACGAGGCTCGGAGGATCGAGCCTTCTCTTTTGCTGTCCACGGTTGTCGATGACACATGCCTTCAGCATTTTGGTGCCGACCGCAGGGTGAATGGGGGCCCTCGTGAAGGCAGGCGCGGCTTTAGATCAGCGGCTCAGCAAACGTGACCTCTTCATAGCAGCAGTGGAGACTTGGCAGCGCGGCCGCGTTGCGCAATCAGCTTGTGGCAGAGCTAGCCTGTCTAGGCGGCTTCCTCCCGCGGTCTGAAAGGAGTCTTGGGTGGATTGCGGATCGGATCGTCGGTTTGGTAGGGCCATGATGCGCGATGGGCGAGCGTCTGCTGCGGCGCGAGGGCGCCGCGGCAAAGCAGTTCGAGGAAACGCCAGGTGTTGCGCGGCAGTGGTAGTCCGCATCGCTCAAGCCACAGTTGAGGCCAGTGTAGGTTACGGCAGTTGCGTCACTGCAGAGCCGCGATGGCTTCGGCAGATGGTTGCCCGCAAGGGCCGCGCATCCTCCTCCTCGCCCACCCTTCGCCTTCTCGCGTGCCCTGGGACGCGCGTCGACCCCGCCTTTCTAGGCGTCCGCCGAGCCGCTCTGTGCGATGATCGCCGCGCGGCAAAAACGCGCGGGCCTCTGGGCGACCGATTCGGCAGGGTTTGCAGCGAGCGCAGGGCGCGGGTGGCACGGGGTGTCCTTGGCAACAGATTTCCAGACCTTTTTTCTGCCAGTGCGGCGACTCTGTGCAGGTTAAAAGTCGGATTATCTGGGGTCGCCTGGTGAAGGCGTCCCTGGGGCCTGGAGTTTGACCCGGCGCTGATGTGCCGGCGCTCTATCAGATGGGTTGTCGGTGAAGTATGCGACGCTTGGCAGTGGGCCCAAGTCAGCGACGCAGTCAAGTTGTCCGAGCTTGCCCGAGGCTGCCTGATCGAGCCTGTCTCTCCCTCTTCGAGCGTCGTTCCCCCCTCGACCCCGAGCAGAAAGCGCGATCTCGGTCGGTCCGCGTCTGCGGGCAATGGCCACGGGCCAGACTGCGTGGGGCCAAGTGCGCTGGCGCTGCCCTGTGTCAGGCGCGCACAGAGCACGCGGGCAGTCTGCGCCACAAGCGCGCGTTGCGAAGCCTTGATCTCCGTGGGGCCAGCGCCAGATGGGCCGTCGCATGCCCGACCAGACCTCGGAGTTGATCGCGTCGTTGGGCAGTCGGGCCCTGTTCCCGTTCAATCGCCAGCGCGCGCTGCCTCCGCCAGCCCCTGCTCAGATGCGCCTGGGGGCCTCGGAAGACCCCGCTGGAGTCCTCTTCCTAGATGGCCCGTTGCTGGATCGCGAGATGCCTCTGGTGAGCGTGGCAGGGTGGGCCTCGGTGGCTCTGCGGCCCGCGCCGCCGCCTCTTCTCGCGGTCCACGCGTTTCGAGACCCGGCCGCGTACGCAGGCGGCCTCGAGGGGCAAGTCCAGTGTGCCTATCGACCGCGCGGTGCTCGTGGCCTTGCTTCAGGGCTCGCGTCTTGCTCGGCCATCCGTCGTCTCCCACGCTGACAGCGGGTTCGTGTGCGACGTCCGTCTGAGGGGGGAGGCCAGTGCGCTCGCGCTGAACTCAGGGGCGCGCGCGCTGACCTCCGGGGGCAAGCGCGGGCCCGCGTCGTGGGCGTGGGCGGTCTTCCCGAGGGCGGCGGCCTCTGGATTTCGAACGTCAAAGGCAATGCCGCGCAAGGGCGGCGTAGATCTCTGGGCATGCCAGTCAGTGTTTTTTTGCAGGCAGCGGGCGCGCAGTTTTTTGGGCCGAGCGCGTCGCCGCGCAGGGGGGCGCGAGCGTCGCGCATCGTTCGCGGCTCCGCCATTCCTCGGGCTTCCCGCGCGCCGTCGCCTTTCAGGTTGCCGGAGCTGGCGCTCGACGGGCGGCGATCGACCCCGAGGCCCTGGGCGGCGCAGCTCGCGGCTGCTCGGCGTGCCCGGAAGGGGGGCGCGTCTCAGCTAGCTGCCGTCGCCCCCCCCCCCCCCTCGCCGCCCGCCGTCGCGCCGCCGCGCCCAGGCCAGCGGAGAAGGGGGGCGCGGGCAGTGATGGGGGGGGGCTTTTCGCCGATGGGCGGTTTTGTGAGCGGAGCTTTTAGCGTCTCTCGCGGTGCATGCGGCGTTTGCGCCGGCCAGATCCTGACGCTCGGCCGAGAGCTTTCCCGGCCCAGCGCGCGGGGGCGGGGGGTGCTCGCGGGGCTCGTCATGGGCCGGGTCCTATGTCGCGGCACTT